TCAGTTTCTCGGCCCTTTTGGGGTAAGTGTACTTATTCATTAAGTTAGGGAGTGTTTTATATTGTTGTATCTGTTTTTCTATATATACCTTTTTATTGTTACAGTCGTAAGACTAAACAAAATTTATTAAAGAATTGTATAGAAAGGAGTAATCCTTTCTATACAATTCTTTAATAAATTTTGTAGACCGGAAGTTTCCTATTTCATTGCCGTGAACATCTTCACGGCTAGTTAGGGTTACAACCCTTTCAACCCTTTATTCTGACAAGAAAACCCATACAGATAGGTACCTCAATGGTAATTCCCATCACCATCCTAGCCAGTTAGCTACCGTGGGCAAATCTTTGTTTCAGAGAGCACATGGTGTCTGCGACAGTAATCATCTGGCAGGGGAACTTCAGCATATAAAGCAAGTCCTACACGCGAATAAGTTGAAGATTCCACGCCAATGCCGCAGGCCCCGTGTGAAACCACAAACAGTCGAATGATGACCTGCCATTTTACCTTACGTGTGAGGTGTTACAGACAAGATCGGAAGAGTCCTCAGGCGTGCATCTATCAAGACCTATTTCAAAACCCTGAGGAAAATTTCTCAGTTCTTGAGACACGTGAAATGTAACATCCCCTTACAGGATGCAGGAGTTTACAAACTTGACTGTGAGTGCGGTCTCTCTTATATTGGACAAACGAAGCGAAGTATTTGTACCCGCGTCAAAGAACATATAGCTGATGTCAAACACCGTCGCGTAAACAAGTCTGTATAAATATAAATAATAATGATAATTATAAAACTACACATTCAATGAAGTTTGACAAACCCCAGGTCCTTGCAAAAGAAGTCCGTTATCTACCCAGGATGCTGCGAGAGGGCATTGAAATTAAAAAGCATCCTAATTTCAACAGGGAAGATGGTTTCTCCGTACCACCAGTTTGGGATCCAGTATTTCCTCTGATGAAAAATCCCAAACAGACATAAGACTGCAGTACTAATTAATATGTTTTAGTTTATTCTAATTTCTGTTTTTAATTAATAATAAATTGAACTTTATAAAAATTCATTCAATAAAATAATTTATAAAACTTAATGTAGCGCAAATTTAAATGTTTTCTTTGTAAAATTAAAAATAAGGTATTTAATTAATAACTATTGTAACTATAGTGAAAAAATAGCGTGGTTTGCATTAATATTAGACATAACTGGTTGAAGACTGTACCACCTCAGTCAACCGTGACCATGGGACCTGTAAAGGGCCCGAAACGTCTCGGTTTGTTTGAAAAAACAAATACACGCGATTTAAATCCGAAAAATTTGTTTTATTTCCTAATTGTCATAATCAAAATATTTACTCGTATTTGTATATTGATGACGTACTGAATATAATTCCAATAGTGATGTCAGACATAAATTAACTAAGAACTTTATTATAAAGAAAACTTTATAATTCTTACGTTCCTTATACTCATTTACTTATTTTGTTCGTATGCCTTATGGCGTAGTATAGTGACCCCTTTTAATTTTATTTTCACCTCACTAGCTTGGAAAGGCTTTCTTTCTCATTAGAACTCTGCGCGCAAAAGCGTTTTTTCCACGCGAGCGTGGAAAAGGTTTTTTAAATTCGAACTTGACGATGGACTGTGGTGTACCTAACTGTTTCTTTGGATGAAAAATAAAACGTAATGACACGTTCAAGTACGCGATTTGTCGTACATTAGTTATGTAATATAAATCCGTTGGTATATTTTATTCTTATTATTGTTGACATTAAATTGACAACGTAACTAATTTTTGTTTATTAAAACTGATTTGTTATAGTTCAACTGTTTTTCTTTCATATACCATTTTCCTCGCTACAGTGAGGTGAAAGTTGTGTGTATCGTTCGGCAGCAAAGTTGTTTTGCGTCTGGTTGCTTGTAATCCTCTACAAGCAACCAGACGCAAAATTTTTTCGATAACCGATTTCAATAAAACTTGGCAAACAGAACATCTATTTGCCAAGTTTTACTGAAATCGGTTATCGAAAAAATTTAATTACATAATTTCATGAACTTTTGAGGTCGGTTTTTTTAGTACTCAGTACTGAGATAATTTAATATCGAAAAACCGATTTTCCGTGTAGTCGAGATACATCAAAACGTCTATTTCGAGTCTCAATTCACCGAAAGGTTAGGATATTGTACTTGTAAGTGTCAGAGCAGATATTAATGTACTTTTATCGTATAAACCTTAGAACATATAGACAGTCACGTATTCTATAATCTAATCTATTCCATATTAATATCAATTGAATTTACAAAATTTTACATGTTTATCCAATACTAATTGAACCAAATATTAGCTCAACCTATCTACTCAAATACGTAAATATTGATAAACAGATTAAATGTGGGCCTTAATTGATAGCCATAGAATTAAATAAATATTTCGAAATAAATAAGATAATATATTTTGGTTTATTAAAGGGAAAATAAATATTTTAATAACTATAATAAAATTACTTTCGTTATAGTAATTAAATAAGTGTCAGCAGACATGAACGCGCTTTTATCGTAATACCTTAGAACATATGGACAATCACGTATTTTATCATCTAATCTATAAAGCTCTCGGCAGGAAGAGATAAACGAAAAAGTTCTTGTCGCCGAAAGAAAAATATTCCGTAAGATTTTGGGACCATCGCAGAAGGAAAATGGTAGCTGGAGGATCAGAAAGAACCAGAAGTTGAATGAAATTGTGTCTGAGTCTAATATCAACCGCAGTCAGCAGGACTCGGACAACTCGTAAGTACGCTAGCTTAGGTATAGGGCGGTGAAAAGGGACTGCACGAGACGTCCTCGTCGTCAACGACCAGTTGGTCGGTTCAAAAGATGGAGGTATGAAATGGAGAAAGATTTCTGCGCATTGCACACAGAGAATTAGGAGGAGATCGCAGAATAAAATAGCGCGCGCTGGTGCCAACTCGTATCCGGAGGCTACACACTTCGGGTCGCTAAGCCAGCGGAGTAAGTTTTAAATTCAATTAAAAATGAATTAGCGCGTTATTTAATAACCTAGTCTACGTCAATTTGTGGTTTTGCCTGTCATAAAAAATAATGGAAGTAGGACAAGTAAAGAACTATAAACATGGATGTTGTTTTTATGAAAGAAATAAGTGGAAATCAGACAATTGATTGATTTGTACAAATAAAAAATAATTCTGTGGTTTTTCTTCTTTTTTATGTTTTATATAATAAGTTCGGTAAATTGGGCACCCAGACTTCTATTATATTTTTACTTGTGAGGTTCTTTAATTGGCTTTGAGTTGTTATTAATATTATTTAATTTAGTTTTAAGCAGTTGGTTCTCCTTTAAATAAATAAATAAAAATAAATAAATGAATCTTGCATCTATGTCATTTATTTTATTTGTTTTATTTAATTATCCTTTTTTCTTTTAGTAAAAAGTTTTCTTTTAGTCACTTTATTATGTTTTGTAAACAGTCATGCAACAATAGTTATTTGTTATACAAGGAAGCAAAATTGTTGTATGACGCGAGTATTGAAACCTGAGTAAACGAAGGAAGCTAAGATTAATAGATTCCTGAGCGTAGCGAGGTTTTCAAGACACGAGACGCAAAACAACTTTGCTGCCGAGCAAAACATACAACTTTTCACCTCACTATAGCGAAGAAAATGGTAGATGAAAGAAAAACAGTTGAACTATATATATAACAAATCAGTTTAGTTCTTCGGCGAATTAAAATAATTTAATAAACAAAATTAGTTATCGTTGTCAATTTAATGTCAACAATAATAAGAATAAAATATACCAATGGATTTATATTACATAAATAATGTACGACAAGTCGCGTAGTTAAACGAGTCATTATGTTTTTTAATTGTTGAAAGAAAAAGTTAGGTGCACCACAGTCCATCGTCAAGTTCGAATTTCAAAAACCTCTTCCACGCTAGTGTGGAAAGAACTTTCTTTCAAATTTTCTTATTTCCTCTTTCGGATGTGTTCTGAATTTACATCTCATCAATTTTAATTCTTGCTTGTACTTTATTTTGTGTGATTAAATGATTATTGAAATTACTTTAGTTCTTCGATGATTTAAAATGATTTAATAAACACAATTAGTTCACATTGTCAATTTAATGTCAACAATGAGAAGAATAAAATATACCTCGGATTTATATTACATAAATAAGTAATGTACGACAAATTGCGTAGTTGAACGTGTCATTATCGTTTTTTTCATCGAAAGGAAAAGTTAGGTGCACCACAGTCCATTGTTAAGTTCGAATTTCAAAAACCTTTTCCACGTTAGCGTACAAACAACGCTCTTGCGCGCAGATTTCTAATGCGAAAGAAAGGCTTTCCGAGTTAGTGAGGCGAAAAAGTTGTTGTTTATGATGTTAGTAATATATTCCTGCGAATTGTTTTGTAATGTAAGCCTGCAAAGTTGTTAGTATTTTACAACTAACTTGTGTATTGTTCCTACACGCAATTTCCAACTTTATGTCATGGTAAAATCTTACCTTTGGGTAATAATTTATTAATAAGAATGACCTTGCCCCACCGCCGCGGCATTCTCAAAGAGATTGTATTGCACAAAATGTTACTTCGTGAACGACCTTTGACTTTTGGTACGATTGTGTAATCGCTATTGCAAACTTTGCCCATAGACAAAATACAGATCACTTATAGCCTATACCTACTGACCTACACATTTTGTAGTCAGTTGATGGTTCAATACGATGGGTTAGTTAGGTGACCGTAACCGCTGAACTTTTGGGTACCGCCATTTGTTCGAGGATATGATAAGGACCTTCTTCTTAAGAAGAAAATTTGTAAAATACGTTAAGTATGTGCCGAGTTCATAGCTGTTCTGATACGCTTTTGTACGCAAATACAAACATTGATTTTGTCCGATAATGGGATTTCGGATTGGGTATCTGAAGAACCGAATTGAGAGAAAGTCGGTACGTTTAGTACTCAATCAGTAGTATCAATTGCTTACCAAACATTGCCAGCTGAAGACTCCAACCCCACAGCAAGCCCTTCGAATAACTCGTGTATTGATAAAGCTAACACGATCAATAGACCTCTTAGAGTAGCCACAATAGTATCATTCGATGTAGCAATGTTTAAATGACCATGACCATGATTTCTTGCGGCCTCTACTTCTTTAATAGGTTCGTCTCTTGAGCCACCGTCTTCACTATTTCTCCGTATACTCAACACTCTTGTAAAACTAGTATTGGCTGTCTTATTCTCTCTGCGATTGATGTAGACGTGGACGCCTTCTTCTATTAAATACATCATGAAGAAACCTGAACACATAATCAGGCCGGCTAAGTAGATTGGAAACTCAGAGAGCTGGCCGTTCTCTGAAAAAATAGAAACAAATGTAAATAAATAAATCGGTCTGTTGCAAATATTCATAGCAATGACAGTTTTATGGTCTGTATCAATATAAAACTAAATTAGGGTTCGTTACGGAGAAACGGGGAAATCGGTGATATAGGAAAGAATTCACAAAATTGTAGTTATGCTGGGGCCATTGCGGACCACCACCACCATCGGCAATATGACAGAGTGTAGGGCAAGAAGTACGCCCAGTAGTCGAGCCGTCGGAAATTAGTTATTTAGTTTTGATACATATTATATCACATGTATGTTAGTCTGTAATGTATATATTATATTGGCAAACGTTCTCTGACTTAAATAAATAAATAATGAAAATAAACTACATTTTAATGTTCAGTTATATTCAATACCTGCTCGCAGATTTACAGCTTATGTGTGGTATTGAATAATTGCACCTACACTAGTAACCATTAGACAGTGATAGTACCTAGAGCCAGAAAGGTATCTAAATGGTACCTACTATTATAGATGCGTTGATTGTACTACTTGGGTTATTAGACGATAGAAAGTCTCCTTATGTTATGGCTTCAGTTTAGGCTTCAGTTCATTTGATATAACTTAGAATTTCTAAAATGTCTTATTAATATTTTTTTATTACACCAAGTGGCGAGACGAACAAGTCGTGCCACCAGGCGGTAAGTGACTCGTCTGTCCATAATAGTTGCAGTGCCACTCCAGAGCTTTAAAACACAAAGTGCTACTGCACCCGTCGCCCTGTGACCTAATTACTTTTACTTTACTCACATTACTCCTTGGCGGCAGAAATAGGTAAGTAAAAATAGGCAGTACTTCCCTGGACGAACTTTTTCACAAGGAGCTCGTCTAGTAGTAGAGTTTATTGTGGAAGATTTCGTAATATGATTTCATTTTAGTTTATTTAGGAGATTATCCTGTACCGTGAACGTGTTTCTAGTTATATGACGTAAGGTAGGCCAGCTATGTCACAAAAATGTAGAATTTAGATTTACAATTAACACGTTGAACATAAATACATAGTTGGGAAAACGTAAAACCTTATCAAACAATCATAACGTGTTTATCAGGTGTATTGCAATAAAACAATAGAAAAACGCATTTTATCATAGCAATTAACATGTTACTAATTTTACCACGCACTGTGCCCATAATTGATTAATCGGACAATAAATCTAATCACTCAAAATAAAACAGATTTAATTACTAAAGTATTTTTAACTTCGTTTAGTGATCGGTATTAATTCATTGAGCTTATCAACAAAGCATCAGAGTTTAATTTTGTGATAGTTATCATTCTGTTAGATACATAATATACTGACTTGACAACATAACCTGGGAGCTTGATAAAATTTGTAAAACGAACTAGTTGCGATTATACTATCTAAGTCTGCTAACAGATGGACTACATGTCTGCAGTTAATGCGTTCCACTGCAAGTGTCGGCTGTCGTTGGTGTAAATGTAAAGTAAGTAAACATGAAACTAAGTACACAAAGCAACGTAACAATGACGCGCCCTATTGCGTTCCGGCGACACATTTCTTAGCCACTTTGTGAAACAATAGCCGTATTAGAAAACTGCGCGTTTTGCAAAGCGGCTAGCCGTAATGTAATACGGCGTTTTATACAATACAGCTGCGACATAAACATAATCCGAGAAAGTATCAAATAGCTATGTTTGTAAATAATTTGTTTTACATTGATAAGCTGCAATATATCAAACTTACTGAAATTTCATTTCAAATAAATCAAGTAGACGGCGCTTATTGCACAGATTTTTATGGATAATGCTCTTTTATTTTGTTGAGGATTTGCGCCATCTACGACTATTAGGAAGCGTTATATAAATTAGTTTGTAACAATCAATGCGATCTACTGACACGCATATTGATTGAAGTTCAGAAAATAATATTAACTCATAATCAATATTTGAATAATATTACAAGAAAAAAAACTGATTTCTGTATTATGTACCTGTATATCACATTAAAGAAGAACTCATTGATATCCATCGCCATTTACATATTATAAACTACTTGCAGGCTATAGATATACTTATGATGGAATTTTGACCTTTTTCAGAGTAACGATCTGTAGTACAGAGATTAGCAATCCTCTTGGTTTATTGGCTCATGCTACAAGTACCATCTGTGCCATTTCGGTATCAACAAATATATCTACTGAGCTCCTGCGTCTCTCTGCTTGCAGTTGTATGCTGCGTTATATGCATCAATTTCGCGCTTGCAGTCCGTCTGGTAGCAGCCTAAGAACCACAATTAAACTACTGTTTAAGGGTGAGGCCAGACGAGCGTAATTTTGTGAGTAGTGAGTTGCGTTGTTTGAGTTGCGCAGTTTGTGCTCGACCGAAATTCTGTTGGAGCGCCGGACGAACGTATTTTATACGGGGTGTTTGTGTCACAATAGTGTAATGGATTCATTAAAAATGTCTAATATCGTCTTCTAATGCTTCATAAATGCAGACATTTATGAAAAATTTGAAGACGATGTTATAAAAAGAAGCTGATCATATATGATACACAAGTTTATATGAACATCCAGATCAATTTGTTAAGTATGTAATACCACATGCCATGTAAATAACATATATAATATAAATGTTTATCAAGAATTGTTAAGCCTAGTAAAACCTTTTATTACTAAGTCAGATATAAATATGAGACAAGCCATCAGTCTAGAGGAATCACTACTAATAAAAATCTAGCAAATTGTTCAATTATTTATATTTTAATTTCCATATCGAACATTTTCGCGAGCAACGTCTATACTCACGCGCATCCTATACCAAAGTGACCCCTTCCCTCACCCCTACCTTCGCTCACGCCAACCCGTCACACGATGCAACCGAAAATTAGTCGTCATTACGCCCGTGAGTCGGCACGTAACTCTCATTTTGCGTCGTCGTGTGAAACAAACCGTACTTTTATATGAAATCGAATGCAGCTCAAACTACGCGACTCATAACACACAAAATTATGGTCTCAAAAGTTTATAAAAAAAAACTATAAGAACTAATGTAACAATATAGTTCCCCGGCAGAAAATCCTACAAAATATCAATTACAGCCGAACATGGAATTCAGAAGTTCCTGCACTCCCGTAAAGAAATGGGAAAACTATTTGTAGATTTGGATTATGAGAGCGTCTTTGAATACACACCTCTGTTCAGTGAGTATATACGTCGCATATCAATAATGGCAAATCCTGTTTTTAAAGAGTTTACGTTCTCCAATCGCCAAAAATGAATATCAATAGGTGTACGTACACTTACAGTGTACATAGCTACTATGGAAAAATTATGCTCGCAGACATGCATGCACACATGTAAGCAGACACATAAGTAAACACGCCCATACGCACGCCGTAAACACGCACATATTTTTTTTATATAATATCAAGTGACTGGAGGAATACAACGCAACTTTAAATGTTTAAAATTCCTTAATTGGTGCAACAACAATAATTTCATAATAATAATAATAAAATATACATTTATTAAATATCCATAACATTAGAAGAAGAAACAAGGTCAGTGTGTGGTACGAATCTCATACAACTTTCACCTAAAAAAATGTATTACAAACTCGGTTACGTCTTTAATTTGGTATATCCAAAATTCTGAAATCGTACAATAAAATCTTCCTGCAAATTATATTTAGAACGCTATGTGATTTTGCTTCACACAATTCAACAGCAGGACAATTTTTTTCCGCATGATGGCCTGGAAATCTGAGATTTAAAGTTCTGAGCGACACTGCAACTGCTAAGGACAGACGTGTCGCTTACCACCAAGTGCACGATTTATTCGTCCCGTCACTTATAGGTACCATAAAAAAAACTAAATTTACGTGTAAAGTGCAAGCATATTGAGCCTCAGAGTTCAATTAATCTGTTCGGTATTTACTTCCTGTTTATACCGTTCTTTATAACATTGCACTTAATTTGGATTTGGCTACTTATGAATATCTTGACTTGTCGTCTTTTGCCAAAAATTACCTAACTTGACTCATGAGTCATGACAGATAATAATTATTAAAACTATGAAATTATGAAAATAATTAGAAATGAGTTGGAAGTTTTGATATGATATCAAAATTCAAGATAAACAATAAATTACTATAAGATACATAAAAAAAACATAGTAAGTATGTACGTGACTGTAATTTCAGATTATTATCAGCACTCGAGCATAACTGACGTAAAGAGGCATTTTCATTGCAATAATGTATCTTGTCACTGACGAGGCATTAATTCACTTGGCTACAAATGGTTGTTCTTACGACATGTTTTCTGACACGTACACCTTATCATTGATTTTCTTCAGTTGGTACTTAATATTTTAAAAGAGTTGGATTTTTATTTTTTCCTACATTCAAATTATTTTTACGTGTTCTGTAGCCCAAAAACATTGAAGGTTTTTAAATGAAATATAGTTTCAAATCCTTTGTTCCAGTACTTCTCATTGGTTAACAAATATCCTTCCTTCTTTTAAGAATTACTTCGAGTATAGGAATTATACCAATTTAATTATTATTGTCTCTAGCGGAAATTTCAGAGCTTAATGTAATTTTACCAAACTACGGATATTCAACGACAAAACGAAATGTCCTATATACTCGTATAATTAGCAAAAACCTTTTGTGTATCATCATCATACGAAACGCTGTGTTCACATCTAGAAGGACACACTCTTCTCGCCTTATAATGTTAACGAATCTGTTGTATTTGATTTAAGAGTTGTATCCAGTTTTGTGAACCGAATAAAAAAAAAAAGAAAACACGTCACATTGACACATGTGATATACTCACAAATTTAATGACTCGTGAGCATTTTGATGATTCAAATTATTATAATCCTAGTTCGTTGGGAACATCTTAGCCCCACCATCAGCAAGCGCAGGCCACACCGCGAACGAAGCTAAGCTAACTTAGCCGTAGCCAGGGCTCACATAGCCGGGGCATCTATTCAT